CCCAAAACACTGCGGCTCAGGCGGCAGCCCAGATATCCTCGGAAGAGCGCCCCTAGGAGAAACAAACCTGACCACTGTGCCATCATCAAATTCCCCCTCACCACCGAGTCAGCCATGAAGAAAATAGAAGACAACACACTGGTATTCGTTGTGGATGTCGAGGCCAACAAGCACCAGATTAAACAGGCTGTGGAGAAGCTCTGTGACACTGATGCGGCTAAGGTCAGTACTCTGCTCAGGCCTGATGGGGAGAAGGAGGCATGTGTTCGACTGACTCCTGACTATGATGCTTTGGATGTTGCCAACAAAATTTGGATCATCTAAACTGAGTCCAGCTGGCTAATTCCAAATATAAAAGTTTTCACTATGAAAAAAAAAAAAAAGCAAGAAAATGACCAATGAGGAAGAAATAGGCCTGGGAGGAAGTTTCTGGTGTGCCAATAATGTATTTCTTGGTGGGTATTTGCTTCATAACTATTTATCAGATTGTTTATCTGTGTTTTAACTACTTGTCAGTATGCATAGTTCATAACACAATGGTTTTAAAAGTTAGATGCAAAAAAGATAATCTAAAGACTCGGACACAGCTGAGCGAATGAACTGAACTGAACTGATGTAGATGATAATCTCCTTTTATGAGTCACTTGCAAAATCAAATCTAATGTAAATTGAAAACTATAAAACATCATTGACTGAAATTAAAGATGACCTAAATAAAAGGAAAGACATCTCTTGGTCATAGATAAGAACATTTAATATTATTAATTTGGGGGGCATTATTCCCCCCAAATTTCCATACAGATTCAATGCAATCCCTATTTTTTTTTTTCAGAAATGGAAAAACTGATTCTCAAATTGATACTGAATTGCAAGGGACACCAAACAGCTAAAATAATAGTGAAAAGGAAAACACCACGGCAGGACTCACACTTCCTCATTTCAAAACTTACTGCAAAGCTACAATAACCAATGCTGTGTTACACTGGGAAGAAGAGAGCATAGGTGTAAATCTTTCTGAACTTGGATTAGGCACTGGCTTCTTAGATATGACACCAAAGATAGTAAACCAACAGCGTAACAGCCAGAGGGAGAAAAAAGAGGTAAACTGAACATTGTCAAAATAAAAACTTTTGTACTTCCTTGTATACTATCAAGAGATTGAAAAGATAACCCACAGAATGGGAGAAAATTTTTGTAAATCATGTATCTGACAGGTCTAATATCCAGAATATATAAAGAACTCTTACCACTCAATAATAAAAATACAACTTATTTAAAAAATAGGCAAGGGATTTGAACAGACATTTCCCCAAAGAGGAAATGCAGGTGGTCAATAAGCATAGGAAAAGAGAAATGTAATTATTAATTATTAATTAGAGAAATGTAAATCAAAACTCCAGGAGATGGTGAGGGACAGGGAGGCCTGGCGTGCTGCAGTCTATGGGGTGGCAAAGAGTTGAACACTGAGCAACAACAAATCAAAACCACAGTGAAACACCAGCCATTTTAGGATGGTTAGAATCAAAAAGTTAGGAGACTGTGGAGAAATTAGAACCTTGATAGATTGCTGCAGGAATATAAAATGGTGCCACTTTGGGGAAAAGTCTAACAGTTCCTCAAAAAGTTAAAAATGGAGTAACCATATTGCCCAGAAAAGACAGAGGAACCAGAAATCAAATTGTCAACATCTGTTGGATCATAGAAAAAGCAAGAGAATTCCAGAAAAATATCTACTGCCTCATTGACTACACTAAAGCCTTTGACTATGTGGATCGCGACAAACTGTGCAAAAGTCTTCAAGGGATGGGAATTTACCTTAGGAAAGGCCAGCTTACCTGCCTCCTGAGAAATCTGTATGCAGGTCAAGAAGCAACAGTTAGAACCGGACATGGAACAACAGACTGGTTACAAATTGGGAAAGGAGTACGTCAAGGTTGTATATTGTCACCCTGCTTATTTAACTTACATGCAGAGTACATCATATGAAATGCCAGACTGGATGAAGCACAAGCTGGAAATAAGATTTCTGGGAGAAATATCAATAACCTCAGATATACAGATGATACCTTATGGCAGAAAGCGAGGAGGAACTCAAGAGCCTCTTGATGAAAGTGAAAGAGGAGAGTGAAAAAGCTGGTTTAAAACTCAACATTCAAAAAACAAAGATCATGGCATCCGGTCCCATCACTTCACAGCAAATAGATGGAGAAACAATGGAAACAGTGAAAGACTTATTTTCTTGGGCTCCAAAATCATGGCAGATGGTGACTGCAGCCATGGAATTAAAAGACACTTGCTCCTTGGAAGAAAAGCTATGACCAACCTAGGCAGCATATAAAAAAGCAGAGACATTACTGTGCCAACAAAGGTCCATCTAGTCAAAGCTATGGTTTTTCCAGTAGTCATGTATGGATGGAAGAATTGGACTAGGATGCTTTTGAACTGTGGTGCTGGACTCTTGAAATTTCCTTGGATTGCAAGGAGATCAAACCAGTTAATCCTAAAGGAAATCAACCCTGAATATACATTGAAAGGACTGATACTGAAGCTGAAATTCCAATACCTTGACCACCGGATGCGAGGAACTGACTCATTGGAAAAGACTGGGAAAGATTGAAGGCAGGAAAAGGTAACGACAGAGGATGAGATGGTTGGATGGCATCACCAACTCGATGGACATAAGTTTGAGCAAGCTCCGGGAGTTGGTGATGGACAGGGAAGCCTGGCGTGCTGAAGTCCATGGGGTCACAAAGATTGGATGCAACTGATCTGAACTGAACTGAACTGAAATGACCCAGGAATTCCACTCCTGGGTATATACCCAAGAGAACTGAAAATAAATGTTCACACAAAAACTTGTATATAAATGTTGACAGCAGCATTATTTATAAGAGCCGAATATCAATTGATAAAATGGAAAAACAAATATGGGATATCCGTACAATGGAATATTATTCAGCCATAAATGAAGCACTGATATATGCCACAATGTGGATGAACCTTGAAAATAAGCTAAGTGAAAGAAGCCAGTCACAAAAGACCACCTATTTGATTCCATCTCTGTGAAATGTCCAGAATAGGCAAACCCATAGACACAGAAGGTGGATTAATAGTTACCAGGAGCTGGGGAGAGCGAGAAATGGGGACTGACTACTGTTACAAAACACAGTTCAACTGAGTAAGTGGTAAAGCTCTTCCTGCCTTTATTCATTCATCACGGATCATGCAGCAGCCCATCTAGCAAACAGAAAGGAGCTCTGAAGAACCGGATAAAATAGAAGACTTTTACAGGCAGAAAGAGGTGGGACAAGGAAATTAGTCAGCAAAGAGCTGATTATGTCAGCTGAGGTGGCCTTCCTTTGGGGAACTGCAGGGGTCTATCAATGGATTACTTCACTACTGCAAAGCAGGAAATTCCAGACTGGCTGATTAAGACTGCATTCCTAGAAGAGGTTGAAACCACAGTTAGGTTAGGTATGAAGTCCTGGTTTTGTCCCTTGAGCTTAGCATGTGATCCCATTTGGGACTTCTTACCTCTCTTTTGACAATGTGGGATGTGCTCAGTCGCGTCTGACTCTCTTCAGCTCTATGGACTGCAGCCAGCCAGGCTCCCCTGTCCATCGAATTTCTCAGGCAGCAGTACTGGAGTGGGTTACCATTTCCTTCTCCAGGGATCTTCCCAACCCAGGGATCAAACCTGCGTCTCCTGCGTCTCCCCCACTGCAGGCGGATTCTTCACCTGCTGAACCATCAGTGTTTCTTTCTGAGGTGATGAAAACGTGGAATTTGACAGGGAGGATGCTTGCACAAACTTGTGTATACACTATAAATCACTGTACATGTGTTTAGTTGTTAAGTTGTGTCCAACTCTTTCCGGACTGCGTGGACTACAGTCCGCCAGGCTGCTCTGTCCATGGTATTCTCCAGGCAAGAATATTGGAGTGGTTGCCATTTCCTTCTCCAGGGGATCCTTCCAGCCCAGGGATTGAACCTGCCTCTCCTGCATTGGCAAGCGGGTCCTTTACCACTGAGCCACCAGGGAAGCCAACTGCACACTTACAAGAGCCAATTTTATGGTACACGAATGGTACCCCAATTTTTAATGGAATTTTCAGAAAAAAACTAATAAATTGGAAATTGTTTCCTTTCTTTAAAATTTCACCCACTAAACTTAAATTTTAAAAAAGAAAAAAGCCAAATCAGTGAGCGTGCTCATTGTAAGAAAAATTAAAAGCATCCCACTGGGGAACCACCACCCCCTTCCAAACAACTCCCATCTCTGTTATCACTGCTTAAAGAACGAGAATCACTTCGAGTGTTGCTTTTGTTACCAGTGGAAAGAATGCCTCCACCCCTCCCTCCAGCATACCACTGCCCCCTCATCAGCCCCCCTTCCCCGTACACAGGCTGGCAGTAAAAAAGTAAGGAAATATTAGCTCTAAAAATATTGCTAATGCATCCCTCCCCAGGACTCCGAGCTCTGAGTGGGGAGGGAGTCCGGCAGACCTGCGGCCTGCAGGCCGGATCATGCAGGGTACCACCGGTGTGGTGTGAGCAGAACGGCGGGGACTTGCGGAGCGTGCTGCGGAGCTGTCGGGCAGCCTTAGGGGCGCGCGCGCCGGGGACAGGGTGGGGCTCGTGGGACAGTCTAGGGGCCGACGCGGGTCCGCAGTCCGGACTTGGGGGCCATGGGGCGGGGCTTGAGGGCGAAGGGGTGTGGCTTCAGGGCGGGGGCGGGGCGCACCCGCTGTCTTGGCATGGGGGCTACGGGGCGGAGTGTGGAGGTCGCGGGGGCGTAGTAGGGTAGGGGCGTGGCCTAGGGGTAGGGGCGGGGCATGGGCCGCGGGCCCCGAGAGCTCGGGAGGGGCCAGACGCGGGAGGGGCCGGACGCGGGCGGGGCGGACTCTGGGACGCTAGCGGCTGGCGGGTCCGTGCCCAGACAGCTGCGGCGGCGGCGGCCACACGCGGAGCCCCGATCCCAACCCTCTCTGCGCCCGGCCATGCCACCTCCCCCGCCGCCCACCGTGCTGGTGCCGTCGGAGCGCGCCGTGGTGCTTCTGTCGTGCGTGCTCTCCGCTGTGGGCTCGGGCCTGCTGATAACCACGCACGCCCTGTGGCCCGACCTGCGCAGCCTGGCGCGGCGCCTGCTGCTCTTCCTGTCCCTGGCCGACCTGCTCTCGGCCGCCTCTTACTTCTACGGGGTCCTGCAGGACTTCGAGGACTCCTCGTGGGACTGCGTGCTGCAGGGCGCGCTCTCCACCTTCGCCAACACCAGCTCCTTCTTCTGGACGGTGGCCATCGCCCTCTACCTGTATCTCAGCATCGTGCGCACAGCGCGCGGGCCGGAGACTGGCCGCCTGCTCTGGACTTTCCATGTCGTCAGGTGGGTGGCGGCGACGCCGCTTTCCTTCAGGTTCCCTGATCCCTGCCCGGATCCTGTGTGCTGTCCCTGTGGCCCTCGCCACGCTCAGGGCCACGTGTCTTGGTCGGACCTCTGACCGGCCACTCAGCCGGCAGTGTCTGCTCATGTCCCGGGACAGCCCTGGGTCAGCGGAATGATGGGCTTGATGAAATAGTTCTGTATATCGCCGCAGGGGGCGTCCCTTTGAGGTGGCCCCAGCTCAAGCCTCCCAGGGAGGTGGGTGCCTCAGCGCAGGCCCTGGAGCGTGGGCGACTAGAGCTCACCCTCAGAGCCAGACCCTGGTAACTTGGAAGCACCTGGAGAGCTGGTGAGGCCACTCTGGACCTTTGGCCTCCTGTTTCACTGTGTTCTGGCCATCTCTGCTGCCGGTGGGCATGGGGGCAGGCACCTGAGAGATGAGTTAGGTGCCCCAGGATGGAAAAGTACATGTGGTTCATGTGGCCACTCTCAGGCTGCCCTCCACCCAACCCTCTGCCTCGGCGCTAAAATTTAGGAAGGACAGTCTTGTTTATTTTATCTTTACTCATCTCTAAACCTCAGGCACCAATCTCTTGTTATCTGTGTTCTAGATAATCTTTCTTTCCAGAGTTCAGCAGCTCTGAAATTGAGGTCAGAGCCAGAGGCTGGTCTGGAAGACAGCTGCCAGCTGCCTGGAGTCTCTGGGTAGCGAGAACCAAGGCCTTGTCCTGCCCTGGCATTGTAGTGTCTCATCCAGCTAGCTCTCACCTGTGAACCAAGGTTGGCCCCTTTCCAGTGTAATCCCAGGGTTCAAACATCTGGTGAGGTCCTCTGGTGAACCCACGGCAGGAATTTTATAGAGCTTCTTTCCTCTTCTCCCTCCTCCAAATAAGAGCACCAAACGCTGCCCTAATTATAGGTCCTCTCTGTTAAATACTTGAGTTCTTTCCAAGGGACAGAGGATGGTCAGCACTTTTGTAGACAAGTCACCTGGGTGTCACAACAGTGAGGTCACAAGCCTGCAAGAGTCACTTGACCTCCAGGACTCACGGCTGTTGGAGGGAGGCCAGCTGGTCCCTGGGAAATTAAATGGCCTGCTTCTCAGCCGTTCAAGTCAAAATGTTTGCAGTGAGCCATTCAGACAGGGTCAGGTGCTGCAGAGATCCACAGAGAGGGGGTGCCCTTTCCTTTCTCTCTGTCCCACCGGATCTCTGCATCCATTTCTGGGACCCTGTTCTTGGGAGGCTGGTTGGGTGTGGGCAGCGTGGAGCTCAAGTGTACCTGGGAAGGTGCCCAAGACTTTCTTTGCAAGGTTCTCTTCTCTTTCCCTCCCCTCTTTTGAAAAGTACTGAATACAATGTATTTTTTAAGTGATAAAGAGAACCTGTGCAGCTTCTATAGAAAAGACACATTCCCTAAGAACCTTTCTTTTCACTTCTCGGGATGTTTTCTGTGATGCTTAGGGAAAGCCTCTCAAGAAAGCCTATGTGTCCTTCTGTGGCTATAAGGAAGCAGATTGTTCCTCTTGTCTGTTGTATGTGATCCCCCTACTTTATATATACATGGCTACATTAAGTCTACAGTTGCAGTGCACAGGCTCAATAGTTGTGGTAGTTTAGTTACCTCACCAGGGTTCGAACCCAAGTCTCCTGCATTGGAAGGTGGATTCTTAACTACTGGACCACCAGAGAAGTCCTTATCTACTTTCTTCTTAAAAGAAAACAGAAATTTTTCCTGTCAAAGGGACTTTGACAATTTTTTCTCTTCCAGAAGTTAGCACTCCCTTGGCTAGTCTAAAACTTGGTAAAAACCTGTCCAGCAGGTTCATGTATTGACCCAGATCCTCCCAGACAATATTGCTAAGGACTCTTCAGTGTCTTTCTTTGAAGGATTAATTTATGGCTGCTGAACGACCTCTTCGGTTCAGTTCAGTCGCTCAGTCGTGTCCGACTCTCTGTGACCCCATGGACTGCAGCACGCCAGTCTTCTTTGTCCATCACCAACTCCCGGAGCTTGCTCAAACTCATGTCCATTAAGTTGGTGATGCCATCCAGCCATCTCATCCTCTGTCGTCCCCTTCTCCTCCTGCCTTCAATCTTTCCCAGCATCAGGGTCTTTTCCAGTGAGTTAGTTCTTAGCATGAGGTGGCCAAAGTATTGGAATTTCAGCTTTAGCATCAGTCCTTCAGTGAATATTTAGGACTGATTTCCTTTAGGATTGATGGTTTGATCTCCTTGCTATCCAAGGGACTCTTAAGAGTCTTCTTTGGCACCACAGTTCAAAAACATCAATTCTTTGGTGCTCAGCTTTCTTTATAGTCCAACACTCCCATCCATACATGACTTCAGGAAAAACCATATCTTTGACTATATGGATCTTTGTAGGCAAAGTAATGCTTTTTTTATATGCTGCCTAGGTTGGTCATAGCTTTTCTTCCAAGGAGCAAGTGTCTTTTAATTCCATGGCTGCAGTCGCCATCTGCTGTGATTTTGGAGCCCAAGAAAATAAGTCTTTCACTGTTTCCATTGTTTCTCCATCTATTTGCTGTGAAGTGATGGGACCGGATGCCATGATCTTTGTTTTTTGAATGTTGAGTTTTAAACCAGCTTTTTCACTCTCCTCTTTCACTTTCATCAAGAGGCTCTTCAGTTCCTCTTCGCTTTCTGCCATAAGGGTGGTGTCATCTGTATATCTGAGGTTATTGATATTTCTCCCGGCAATCTTGATTCCAGCTTGTGCTTCATCCAGTCTGGCATTTCATATGATGTACTCTGCATGTAAGTTAAATAAGCAGGGTGACAATATACAACCTTGATGTACTCCTTTCCCAATTTGAAACCAGTCTGTTGTTCCATGTCCAGTTCTAGCTGTTGCTTCTTGACCTGCATACAGATTTCTCAGGAGACAGGTAAGGTAGTCTGGTATTCCCATCCCTTGAAGACTTTTGCACAGTTTGTCGCGATCCACATAGTCAAAGGCTTTAGTGTAGTCAGTGAAGCAGAAGTCGATATTTTTGTGGAGTTCTCTTGCTTTTTCTATGATCCAGCAGATGTTGGCAATTTGATTTCTGGTTCCTCTGTCTTTTCTAAATCCAGCTTGAACATCTGGAAGTTCTCAGTTCACATACTGTTGAAGCCTGGCTTGGAGAATTTTGAGGATTACTTTGCTAGTGTATGAGATGAGTACAATTGTGCGGTAGTTTGAAGAGTCTTTGGGATTGCCTTTCTTTGGGATTGGAATGAACACTGACCTTTTCCAGTCCTATTGCCACTGCTGAGTTTTCCAAGTTTGCTGGCATATTGAGTGCAGCACTTTAACAGCATCAGCTTTTAGGATTTGAAATAGCTCAGTAGGAATTCTATTACCTCCACAAGCAAGGACCTCTTGGCAGTGGGAAGTCTCATCTTCAGACTCAGGTTACACAGTGACCCAGTCGTTAACTATGTCAAATGACTGGAAATCAGTCCTCTTCTTCAGACCTTCCAGTCTCCAAAAATATTTTAAAATATGAATATACAAAAGGTCAATCTCTATTCTCTAAAGAGCTCTTATGAGTTGATTTTTTCAAAGAAAACTGACAAATATCTTTAGAAATGGACAGAGGACATTCTGACAAAATAGTAAAAGTGTGAATACTCAATACAAGCAATAACAAAGAAGTACCATTTTCTCTTTAAATTAGAAGGAAAAAAGTAGTAAGGCAGGATATTAATGTGATATGCAGATGAAACTGGTGTTTTCCTAATTATTTTTGGCCATGTAAATTGGAATAATCCATGTAGAAAGTATTTGGTTCATACCCCTTGATCCCAGATATCCTATTATAGGGATCTAGTCAAAGGAGATCAACCAAATGACATGCAAAGCCGGATGTACAAAGGAGTTTGCGTGGCACTGTTAGCCAGTGATGACAATTTGAAAGCAGCCTTAATGTCCAAAAAATAGGGGATCAGTAAGTTATAGACTATACCCCACCTGGAAGTGTTATGCTGTTAAATACGGGCCATGAACTCTACAAGTAATATATATTTTTTAAGTGGTAGGACATGATAAGTGGGAAAAGCCATCTATAGAGCTGAATGCAGCCGTACACTGCAGGAGGCTGGAGAGAGTCATGCATGCAGGCAAGTACCCAAGAAGTCCCTGCATGCCCCTGGGGCCCTATGATAATGCCTGACGTAGTTTCCTTTACTGAAAGACTTAAAAAAAAAAAAATCTCATTGGGGAAGGAGGGCAGCTTAGACTTTATCCTCAGAGGTCAGGCTCCTGAGGTCTTGCAAAGTGCTGCCTTGATCCTCCAAAACCCAGCGGACTCACCCAGGATTTGTCACCCTCCAGCCACAGCTGATGAGACTTGCCTGAGACACAGAGCTGTGAGTGGGAGGCTCTGGGTTAGAACTTCAAGGTCAGTGGCCCTTTAAGATTCCATCTTGTCTCTTGGCCTTGACAATAATTTTTTAAACTGAGAGGTTATTTGGCAGTCATTTATTTTTAGCTCTCTGGATTTCCCCCATTGTTAACATGTAATTAAACACGTTAGTGTTATTTATCTTTTCCAATAATTTTTTTCTGGAATCATTTAAGAGTAAGTTGCAGACCTGATGCCCCCAACTCCCAATCCTTCAGGGTGTATTTCCAAAAGGCAAGGACAGTCTCTTGCATGACCATGTTGTTAGTGTTGTTCAATTGCTAAGTCATGTCTGACTCTTTGTGACCCCATGGACTATAGCCCACCAGGCTCCTCTGTCCATGGAATTTCCCAAGCAAGAATAACGGAGCGGGTTGCCATTTCCTTCTCCAGGGAACCTTCCCGATTCAGGGATTGAATCCACATCTCCTGCATTGGCAGGCAGATTCTTTACCACTGAGACACCTGGGAATAGCACAGGCACCCTATTTTGTAGGATGTCTCTCTCACCCAGGTTGCCTGATGCTTCCTTGTGAGTGGATCTGTTGCAGAAAGGGGGACCCCCTTTAGGGCCCAAGAATGGATGCTTGTCTAA